GCTCATAAATAAATCAACGCAAACTTGTGAGAAAGGAATAAATGTGAAAGGAGGTCCAGCAAAAACCAAAACAAAAGTTAGTAAGCGGGTGACATCAGAAGTAACAGTTAACACATGCCGAGCCCTCCGCAAGCAGATACAACTTTACTTCCCGGGTCAGCTTCAGACAAAAAAGAGAAACACTGCCCAACCTCACAGATGCAAACTGTGGCACCACCCAGAGCTCTGCAGCGGAAGCTCCCGGCAAAGCACTAAAAGTTGCGGGTCCTCCCGGGCTAGAGGCCAGAGAAGGGGGTACACCCGGAAGTGGCCCCTCTCCCTCTCCTGGGCCGCAGCCACGCCCACGGGGGCGTTCCATTTACACTGGGCTTGGCTGGCTGCCACGGACCAACACGACCCGACCCCTGCCAGCGCCCCCGTGCCCCCTCCGAACCTTTGCCTCCCGCCGACCCTAAGCCAACCGCCACTGCCCCTGCTGTCTCAGCAGCCAACACGCTAAGGAAGGGGTTTCGCCAGCCTCCCGATGAACGGCATACGAAAACGCTGGACGACTCTTGGCGTCAAAACCCGCGAGGCCCACGGCCGTAGCGTTGGATCGGGTGGGAAAACTCGCCAGCTGAGGTGGGTCCCGGCACCCTAGCAAACGCGCATGCGCGGCTTCTCCCGCGCACAGCCGGGGCCGCTCCCCGCGCGGCGGTATTGGCGGCTCTTTCAGCCAGTCGTAGGACGGGATTGAGTCGGTTTGTGATTGGACGACGTGAGGGGGTGGGGCAGGTAGGAGCCCGGTGATTGGGAGAAGACGCGTGGCCCCGGATTCGAATTATGGAAGCCGGCGGACGCACAAGGCAGACACTGCTTGCTTAAAACGTCCGGCATCCGTCTAAGACCCCACAATAGCGCAGCCACGCCACCTTAACAGCTTCGACCTTGAAAACGCGCTACCTTATTCTGCTTGGGAACCCATATCACAGCCACTCTCGTTACACACAAATCTTTCCGGTGAACAAATCACCAGGTGCTGAGGTAACTACAGTCTTTAGCTGAGCAGAAAGATGTTTCCCCCGAAATGTGACGCGACTTGCCTTATGTACTCTGAGGAAAATCACTCCTACGGGTACAACCACTATAGTGGGCTACACATAAATGGAGTAATACAGGCCGGGAAGTAGAAGTGAAATGAAACAATTCATCCTGATTAACTGCCCGTTTCTCCATCCTACTAAGGTGGCAATTCTATTGTTGACATGTGACCAGCCATTCCACACCTTTTTCATCTCAGTATTTTCTTCCCCAGGCTTAGAAGACAGTATCTCTTATTCTAAAGATAACCCCTTAACTTGATTTATTCATCAGTTACTGAATATTCAAGAGGACCTTAACATTTGGAACAAGATAAAAAACAGAATTTAATAAGTCCCTATTCTTTACTTTAGCCTCGCAGGAAAAGATTTATATGGTCACCTCTAAAATATGCTCAACTCTAGTTCCTGAATACCCTCTCCACTGGTTTCTTGCTCTCTGCTTCAAAAAGAAGAAAAATTAAAACCGCTTCCTTGATTGTGTTATCACCTGAAAATCATCCTGTCTCTCCTTCCCTTAAACTGCCTCTTGCATTCAGACCTTTTCATTCATTCCTTATTACCTGGCTAAGTCCTGAGGACTGTAACACTTATTACAATTTATCAGGATTAGCCTGTTAAATTCTGTGATTCCTCTGCATTTCTATTAACTTCTTTTAGAAATAGTGAGGGGCCTCCCTGGGGCACAACAGGTTAAGTGCATCACTATGAAGTATCCACAGCCACTGTAACAAGAGTTTGATCCCCAGCCAGGGAGTGCACCTACATGGTAAAGCAGACTCCTGTCGAACTCACTGCTCCCCTCAGTACTGTACTTCAATCTGCCTGCTCTGCTCCCCACTCTTCTGGGGAGCCCTCTGACCCCCCAACCTCTAGCAATGCCCCAGTTCTTGTAAGTATAAATAAATAAATCTCTAAAAACACTCAAAAGAATCCTCAGGGTGTAGAGAATCTCAAGAATTTTCAAATTCTGAAAAAAATCATAAACACCAACTCTAGAGGTGAAAGGATGCTTTTAAGGGTAGTGAGTTAAACCTGTTTCACGAAGTATCTTAACTGTAGCACTGTCTACATAAGGTGAACTACTGGAGTATGTCCATGCTCCAGTTGTTTCACCTAGCATCACTTGTACCCATCTATGTATAGTATTCTTCCTCTTAAAAAACAAGTGACCAAAGCTCTCCTTGTAATACCCGCAACTTGGAGGATACTAATGCCAGGGGCCCATGATCCAAAGTATCTGTGAACAGGAAAGCCTAGACTCTCAAACTCTTCACAGACCTCAGTCGTGACTCATTTAGCAGTACAATCATGGACAAATACTTTGATAGCTTTAATCTACCTATTTCATCTGTAAGTAGACATAATTAGACTAAGAGGTTTGTAGTGAGAATTAAATCAACCTACATAAGGTTTATCAGTGGCACATGAAATCAGTGAATATTAGCTACTATCTCTAATTTTAATTGCCAATTAAATCTCCTTAAATAGTAGAGCTTGCAGAAGTCCCATTCCCCATGAGTCCAAGCAACTTATCTAGTTAACAATAACAAAAATAAAATGACTGACAACTATAAATCAGAGACATTCTGTAGAAGGGGTTAAAATAAGGGAGGAAAGAGAACAAGTGACTATAGCGATGGTGCAGCAATGAACTGGTGGTGGGAATTTTATAGGGACTATACCAGATAATAGAAAGCAAACATTATACAAAAATGAACAATGTAAAATATATATAAGTAAATTAAATGTATATAAAAGTAAAATGGAGCAGATAATTACATGATAAAAAAAGACAGACATTGGGTCTGCCTCCCCTGGTGGTGCAGTAGATAGTCTCAGCGTTATCAAGCTATCAACAGCCATGGTGGCCTGACTTTGATACCTAGCTAGGGAGCTGACTCACATGGTGCATACCTCTTGTGTCTAGCCCTCTGCTCCGTGTATTTCAGTAGATAGCCTGTTCTGCTCTCCACTGTCTCTGGTGAATACTCTCATCCCCTGCACCTCTGGCCTACACTACAACTTAGTATGCATAAATAAAAATAAATCTAAAAAAAAAAAAAACTCTCTCCCATTGCTCCTGCTCCCCATTGCCAACTGCTTTAAGTGGTTAACAACTCAGCCATCAATATCCAATGCCTTTATGTGACAAGGTCTAATTCCAGATCCCCCACTAGTTCCCTAAGTGAATCTTTCAGTCAACTAATATATAGTTCTTTGCCTGAACACACCTGGACCTCTTTTCCCTATGGGCCACCACCTAGAAGTCCCACCATCACTCCATTCAACCATTATATCTGTTAAAATTCCCACATCCTTTCCAAATCCTGCTAGCTCAAAGAAATCAATTTTTTGGATGAGAAAAAGCCAAAACATTTAATGATGTGTACCTCCTGCATAACTGGGAGACCCAGCAAAACTGAACAACTCACAGAAATCACATTTATGCCTATACCATTTCAACTTTTATTATGAAGCTGAACCTTGTAACTCCTTGTAAATTCTGTAATTTACCTTTTTTCACTAGAATGACTGTGTGCAGATACCTATTTTTTAGATAACCCTGAGTGTACAGCCAATTATCTGGCATATGCAAGATATCTAATATTCAATAAGTGGAAAACTACTTCTATTCATAAGGCCATTCTGAATTCTATGTTTACTGAAACCACAGACATAAATTTTAATTCTGAACTCAATTCTGCATTACATTCAATCTCTTGCTTTGAACCTTCCAAATATATCTTCCAAGTCTAAAACAAGCCCTTTTAAACGTTGTACAGTGGCACACAGAACTGGGGCCATTAAATGAATACATTGTTCATTTAATTTATCAGCTCTTTATCCTTTGTATATGAAGAAGCTCTAGGAGTATGAAGCTATCATAGAAAAGTCCTTTGAAAATTAGATTTCGGGGCCCTCCCTGGTGGCAGTGGGTTAGAACACAGCACTAAGAAGCAAACGCCAATTCAGCATGAGTTCTATCCGCGCCCCTGAGGTGACCAACATGGCTCGGCAGACCTCTCCTGACCTGCCCGCTGTCCCCCCTCAGCAGTGTACTTTGTCGATCTGCCTGTTCTGCTTCCTACTCTGTCGTGGGTGAAGCCTCTCACTGTCCCCGCACCTCTGGCCCGCACCCCAGTTCTGTATGCATAAATAAATCTTTTTTAAAATAAATAAATAAAAGAAAATTACATTTTGGATTGCTATAAATATAACAATCCTGGGACCTCCCTATTAGTGCAACAGGTTAAAGTGCAGCATTACAAAGCTAGCTGCACCATTTCAGCGCAAGCTCAATCACAGTAAGGGAGGTAACCTACATAAAGCAGGAATCTTCTCCTTGTCTCGCCTGCTGTTCCCATCAGCAGTGTATTTCACCAATCTGCCTGTTCTGCTCCCTACTCCTTGTTCAGTGACTCCTCTCACCACCCTTGCACCTCTGGCCTATACCCCAATTTTGTATGTTGTATAAGTAAACAAATCTTTAAAAAAAACCGTTATCCTCTATGATTAACTGAAGATACACATGAAGTGCTTTCTAGCTAGTTGATTCTTTTCTTTGACAATTCCTGAGAAAAATGAACCAGAGGTTATTACTGAGTTTTAGTCATTTTACTATAACTGCTATCAAATATAATTCTTGTCAAATATATTCTGATTTACAATTTTATAGGTATCATTTCAAAAACAATCTAGTCTGATGCAGACTAAAAGTATCTACCAGTTCTAGATGTTAAGTCTACATACTGATTGGCTTCCTTTTAAGTAAATGTCATGCATATGCCCCAATTTTTGACTATTTGGAGTTTTGGTGGTTGTTTTTTTTTTTTTTAAGCAACAGGGTGTTTTAAGGAGATCAATCCTTATCAACTACCAAAGAAAATACATTCTACGTTATGAGGCAAGAGATTCAAATCATTTAAAATATATTTTATTAAACAACCTACTTGGAGAATTACAAATGCTTTTACAGCAGTAATTCCTAGTAGTAAAAGGCAATTTCATTAAAAACAAAAACAGTCCATGTTATGTTTTGCTGCTTTGTACACAGGAATGATTTATTTTACAACTAGTCGATGGCAACATTTACCTGCAAAATTAAAAACATTTCTTAATATGTCTCAAAGGCAGACAAATGCTTTTACATGAACCTGTATGACAAACTGCAAGAAGCTTAACACTATACAATTCAAAATAAAATTTACAAAACAGGCACTTTGAAGTTACTGTGTACTGTGTGTAACTCTCACAGTTAATGTAACTTGAACATATCTCATTTCATCAAAGGTTATCAACCAATGAAGCAAATGTTCCTTTGATGCAGAAGCACAAACATTTAGGTTCCAAACACTGTGTTCTGATTGTAATACATGCAAGACAGAACCTAAATTAGAAAAATCTTCTGAAAGAAAATGAAGAAAAACAAAAAGCAGCCAGAAATGAAAGCATTTACAAGCACTTGAATAAGGCCTTTAAGTGTTATATCAGTGTTTTAAACCCCTTCATTCTCAGGTAAGGGATTAAGAGGCCGAGAGAGAGATCGTCTGCGAGGGTGAGGATACTGGAGGTTGGCAGTGTCAGCATCGCAAGAGTGCTCTACCAGAGGAGGAGGAGGAGGAGGAGGAAGGAGCTGGGCATAACTGGACCATCTCGATCCAGCCCGTGGGGAATCCAGAGGGGGAAAGAAATACCTGAAACAATGAAGACAGGAACAACACACCAAACAAAACAAAAACAACAGGGAAAAAAAAAAAAAAGAAAAGAAAAAACAGAAGAAAAAGAGAAAAGTAGTAAATACAAAGAGAACCAAAGAGGAGAAAACACATGCTAGGGGAAAAAAAGCTTTAGTATTTTCATGCCAAAACTAACAGAACATAATAGCAAAAATCAAGACCTTCACTCAAATCAAGTTTGCTTAAGTATAGAAACTTGAAAAAAATACAATCTGTTAAACTTAAAATGTTAAAAAAATTAGTGACTGTTACAAAGAAAAGTATTAATAATTTAAAACATTTTCTAATCTTTCAGAAACATTTGATGCTATCCCATAAATTTACACATCTAATAGGCTTTTTCTTTATTTTAAGCAATGATTCATTTGTAGTAGCAGCAACAAGCACTTATATTTTTAGTGCATACATGATACTGATAACCAATTCAAATACACTTTCACATAGTATGGCTAAGCTATTGTAACACACTGTTGAAGAAACACAATCTTTACATATAACTTAGCTGTTTTTCTGCAAGAATCTTAGAATAGCTATAAAATTTGGTAAGTAAAAGAGCACAAAGAATATGTCCTATTTGATTTTGCCATCTTACAACTTACCCGTAATTCTTGTGCACTTTTGCAAACTTAAGAGTTAAACTTCTGTCATCAATGTCAGAGTCCTATGAACTAAATTAAGCAGCCAACTAAATAATGAAAATCCTGGGACATGGAATTGGCAATAAAGTTAATGTGCATGCACGATTTTATCAAAATTGTAACTTTTTAACTTTTTATCGCAGGGTATGTTTCCAAATTGTGATCTGAAGGAAAACTTAAAGCCATGGAATCACACCATAAAAATAAACAAGCACATTTAGATAAATGTTTATCTCTTTAGTGAATTTTATAAATTTAAAACTTACAAAAGTTTTTTTTTTCCATTTTACTATCAAACTATAAATGAAGCACTTCCAAATGTTTAATTTGGCTACAAACTGTACAGTCAAATCACTTTCATTTTACTAGTAAATGTCACACCCCTTTACTAATATTTTCCAAAATATTACATAAGAAATGACAGTTGTATTGAATAATATCATGTATAAACCAATTCTACAAAAGGTAAACAAATTAGCACTCAAAACAATCTTTATGAAAAATATTTATTCCATCTTCAAATTAAAATTATAAAAATTCATCATTTTAGTTTCCTGTTTTAGAAAACAGAAGATAAGCCTGTATTCTCCAAATGGGATAAAGTAAAATTTCCCTCCTCCCATCCACTTATGAGGATGGTAACAGTTCTTTCAATTTTAAAATCCTTGATACTTTCGGCAACATTTCAAAAAATTGTTTTGGTGACATTATCTCACAAAAAAGCCTCTCCATTTCTATTTCAAAATTTTCAAGTAGTGTCAATAAACTAGCTAGTACCAAAAATGATATACACTGTATTTTTAAAGGCCTTTTGGATTGCGTTTAGTAGTAAGCAGGCTGCTGGTGTATCTTGGGAGAGGTCAAACGGTGCTGGGGAAGGGGAAAAGGAGCTCGCTTTCCATTCCTGTGTGCATGCAACAAGCAGCAAAACAGCAAAGTTACTCCAGTTAGCTTGTACTCAGCTGTGCTTTCTGTTAAAGGACATAATACAAATGGAGAAGGGAAAATGCATCACAGATCCAACACACAAGGTTATTGGCACGTTAAGAATACAAATCAAAACTTCAAAGCTCTTTACAAAATAATGCACTACAAACAGCAACCAAACATCGGGTTTTTAAAACTACTTAGGTACATGAAATCATTTTATCATTACCTGAAATTGTTTAGATACAAATACTTAAAACCTCAAAATCAAATAGTAGCACTTCTTTGTAAATATGTAGCAATATAAAAATAGTTTCAGAAAATTTAAGATACAATTCACTTCTTTAAGATGACAACAAGATAACCACCAGACAGTTGGTTAAAGCACTGCTTTGAAGTTTCCTGAATTGTACTCCAAATTATTCACAAAGGCATATTAAAATACTTAAACTTACAAATTCACATATTCGAAATTTGAGTATGAAAATAAAATGACTCTTTAGATCACACCAAACATTTTTATTAGGATAAACAAGAATCTAAAATATACTAAAAATCTAAAAATCAGTAATTCAAAATCAACCATTTCCTTACAATTCCATTAAAATTTTGAAAAGTAAAAGCAGAAGCCAAACTATTTAACTCATTCTTGCCCTCTCTTCTACAAAAGCTTTATTGATATATTGTATTTAAAAATTCAGTATGACCTGAATCAAAGGCCACACCACTGGCACCTGGCACCACTGGCACTAAAACATTAATACCTATCTAGTACTAAAACCCTTAGTATTATCCCTTATGTTCTCTCTTCAACTCATTACTTCAGAAACAAAATGTTGAAAGTTACAAATATGTCTGAGACCACATTTCAGATTAAATTTAATGACCTCACACTTTACCTGTCAATATTATGACCAAGTAAGCCAAATACAAAGCAAACACAGTCACCTTTAAAACACAGCTTATAATTATGTGTGAATTTCTTGATTCAGTTTTAAAATCCATCAAATAATACACCTCTGGTAGTGTAAATATAAAAAAAAAGTAATTTCTAATTTTCCCATGAAACAGCCTACCTGCCAGCAGAAGATCCGTTTAATGAATTTTGAAGAATTGGGGTATTTGAACCTAGGGAAGGATTTGAGTTTCCCTGCTGAGAACTCCCATTGACAGGGCTCCCATTACCTTTCAAAATACCAGTACATTTCCAATTGTCCATATAATTTGCTGAAAGGAAAATGGTCAAATACATTAGCATGATTGATATCTACAAATCTGTGTTCATGTCATTAAACTACAATTTAAAAAATGAGAAAGGTCTACATTTCTCTCAAAAAAAAAAAAAAAAAAGTTCAAGATATTTTAAAAATAAAACACATATAGGACATTCCCTGGTGGCGCAGCAGGTTAAAGCACAGTATTAAGAAGCTAAAGCACTTCAGCATGAGTTCAATCCCCAGAGGTGATCCACATGGTGCCGCAGACCTCTCCTGACCCGACCACTTCTCCCCTCAGCAGTGTACTTTGAAAATTGGCCTGTTCTGCTCCCCGCTATGTCTTTCATGAATCCTCTCACCACCCCTACACCTCTGGCCTGTACTCCAGTTCTGTGTGCATAAATAAATAAACCTTAATAAATAAATAATAAATAAAACACATATAACCCAGTGTTAGTTAAGTTTAAAAATCAAAAAATTTGAGCAACTATTTCTCTTCCCTACAAAGTAAGGAAGTAACAGACAATTCTCATTAACACAAAATAAAGTTAATATCAAAACAAATTCTTTGCCTTCATTTTAATGAATTTAGATTACATGGAAGTGCTTTCTTGGTTTCCCAATTATAAACCTAGGTAATATCTTCAGAGATGGATACAGGTAACAAAATTTGGGGGTTTTGAGTAGCTTATCTAAGATGGCCTAATTTTTTAAAAATATTAATTTATTTATACTTACAAGAATTGGGGTACAGGCCAGAGGTGGTGGGGTAAGAGAATTCACAAGAGACAGAGTGGGGAACAGAACAAGCGGATTGATGGAAATCTACTGCTTAGGAGAGCAGCAGGAAAGACAGGAAAGGTCTGCTGCACCATGTGGGTCACTTTCCTGGCAGGGGATTTAACTCTTGTCCTGCAGTGGCTGCAGATAGCTTCATAGTGCTGTCATTTAATACCTTCCACCACCACGGAGTCCCAGAAAGCCTAATTTTTAATATGAACTTGACCACTGAAGAAAATAAGCCCAGAAAATCCAAGTCAGAGAGCCAGCTAGAGTACAGATGGGAAGTATTGTATGAAGTCCAAAGGCAGACAAGGGCAGTAAAGCCCTTGAAATCAAATTACACTTAAGAAAGCGAAGGCTCCCACAGCCTAAAACAGAACCTGGGAGATCTACGAGTATAGCCACAGTGCATTTTGGGAAAAAATAACTGCGCAGGGTAAAGCTAAGCTGTAAGTCTGAACCCTACATATGGGACATCACCTACTTGAATTATATGGGGGCTAGGGACACCTTGGCCCAACAGATATATATTCTTGGGATCACAGAGCATACTATAGCAACCACAGTCAACTGACCAAACTGAATTCTCTCAGCTTGAGGTTTCTAAAAAATTTTACAATTAGCAGCCCCAAAATTTTTGAATATTTGGAAGCTGTAGAAAATTGGGGAAGATACTGGATTTCCACCTATACAGGCTGGTTGGTTACAAGGATTATTTAATAACGGAAGCCATGGTTGTAGTCCTAGCCTGTGGGTGAAGAGCAGTCACACAAGTTATACATATAACAAATAGTATCTTTTTATTGGAAATACTGCATAGTTATGTCAAATATTCACTTTACATTTTTAAGTGAAAACTCTAAAGTAGCAACATTAGCAGTAATTTCTTCATTGAGATCTTACCTTTCCACAATCGTACACAGCCATCATCTCCTGAAGATGCGAGCACGGTTCCTGTTATATTCCAACTCACTCGCCAGACCTGAGAATTATGATTATCAAACTGAGCCACTAAATGGATTTCAAATTTTGTTGGCCCACCAGAGGAAGTCAGTTCTTTCCTATTAATAACAAAAAGTTTCCTCAGGAATTTTGATATACACTTGTATGTGTGTGTGCATGTGTAAGTATACATAAAGATGTAAGTTCTAAATTAAAAATAGCAAATGGCTTCACATACTTGCCTATTACTTTATAGTAATGTGCACTGTATACCTCTCACATTCCCTCCCCTCTATCAGCTCAATAAGAGCTTGGTCATGTCACTTTCATCTTACTACCTCTAGCATGATCCTATCATAGAAATGATGATCAGTAACTGGAAACAAACAACTAAAGAGAGTGGTTTTATTTTTTCTGAAAAGTTGAGGAATAAAATGGATAATAATTTTAAAAGGAAGGGAATAATTAAAGGAAAAGAAGAACTGAAACTGACAACTGAAAATGAAAGTTAAATAGGAGTGTCTCAATGCTAATTTAATTTTTCCTAAGGAGAGTACCCCCTCTCATTTATTCAAACATTTGTAGAGCAGCAATTACATACAGAACATCAGTTCTGTCAGTATCAATCTAACAATTCTGAAAACAGAAATTTCTGCATTCCATTCCCTATCTCCCAAAGGCATATAGTCACACATAATTTTATGTATAGAATTCACTACAGAATCCATTTTTTAAGTTCAATTGCCTTGACATATTACTCTACAAATGAAAATGAACACTACAAATTACTATATACAAATGGTGTGGGATACTTACCTCACAGGCTTTAATGTAAAAATTCTCACATCTTTGGTTGCAATGGCTAGAATATGGAAAGACCTTCCCAAGTTTGGAGCAAATGCAATATCATGGACAGGATCTGTAACTGTCATGAGGGTTTCAGCTTTTGCGTATTTCCTAGTTAAAAAAAAAAAAAAAAAGGTTTACATAAAAAATTTCAGAAATAAATTTCAGAAGTAAAGAGAACATAGAACAACTTGCAGCCTGAGTGAGAGCTGGCTTGCTTTAATAATCTTAAAGCATTAGTGGTGAACTTGTGATTTTTGTTTTGTTTTTAGAGAGTATAAAAAATAAATTAGAAACATTTACTAAAAAAAAAAAAAAGTTTTTCAGCATGGAGGCATTACAATCCCAAACTTCAAGCTATACTACAAAGCCATAATAATCAGAACTGCATGGTACTGGAGCAAGAATAGACACACAGACCAGTGAATTCGAATAGAAAACCCAGACATAAACCCACAAGTTTATGGACAACTAAGCTTTGACAAAGGAGCAAAGAAGATACAATGGAACAAAGAAAGTTTGTCAGCAAATGGTGCTGGGAAAACTGGGAAGCTACATGCAAAAATATGAAACTAGATCACTACCTCACTCCATACACAAAAATCAAATCGAAGTGGATTAAAGACCTAGACATAAAAACAGAAACTACAAAATACCTGGAGGCAAAGATGGGTCAAACACTACACGCCATACACTTCAGTGACATCTTTAACGACAGAGCACCCAATGCCACAATAGTGAAGGCAAGGATAAACAGATGGGACTATATCAAGTTAAAGAGCTTCTGTAGAGCAAAAGAGACATTACAAAAAACAGACAGCCCACTAATTGGGAAAAAATTTTCTCACACAAAACTAGTCATAAAGGATTGATCACAAAAATATACAGAGAACTGACGAAACTCAACAAAAATAAACAACCCCATAAAAAAATGGGCAGAAGAGCTAAAAAGACACTTCTCCAAAGAGGAAATGCAGATGGCCAACAAGCATATGAAAGAATGTTCAACATCACTCATAATAAGGGAGATGCAAATTAAAACCACAATGAGATACCACCTCACCCCAGTGAGAATGGCACATCTTCAAACAACTAGTAACAACAAATATTGCAAGGATGTGGAGAAAAAGGAACTCTCCTGCACTGCTAGTGGGAATGCAAACTAGTACAACCACTAGGAAAAACTGGCGGTTCCTCAAACTGCTAAGCATGGAGCTTCCCTATGACCCAGCAATCCCACTCCTAGGTATCTATCCAAAAGACACAAAAACACTGATTCAAAAAGATACCTGCACCCCCATGTTTACTGCTGTTTTATTTACAATTAGAAAAACATGGAAGCAGCCCAAATGCCCAAAAGTAGATGACTGGATTAAAAAGATGTGGTACATATACACAATGGAATATTAGCCAAAAAAAAAAAAAAAAGAAACACATGTCTTTTGCAGTAACTTGGATGGAGCTGGAAAAGATCATGCTTAGAGAGATAAGCCAGGGAGAAAAAGAAAAATACCAGATGGTTTTGCTCATAGTAGGAGTATAATGGACCAGGCGAGAAAATAGTAAGAATAATGAACAGCCATATACCAGAGATATTTTGTGGGGGTGGAGTGGGGAAGTGCACGGGACTTTGATGATGGCACATGGGTGACTTGGTGATGGGAAACCCATGGGGATTACAATTGAGATGAAAAACAAATGTACAAAATGATGTAAAAATAAACTATTATATTATTAAAAAAAAAGTTTTAAAGTTTCTTTGAAAAACAATGAAAGTGTTTTGTTCAATGAAACACTAACCCCCTTAACCTGTATATTGTGACCTAACTTGAAAAATGGTCTTTGCAGATTACGAATCTCAGTGTAAAAACATCCTATATTCAGGCAACATTCAATGTCAGGTATTTTGTAAAACACACACTCACACACAAAAAAAAAACAGAGACACAGAGAAGCCATGTGAAGACACAAGCAGAGATTGGAGTATTCTGTCACAAACCAAAACTAAGCAACTGCTAGATCCACCAGAAGCTTGAAAAGACAAGGAAGGATTTCAGAAGAACAACCCTGACATGCTGATTTCAGATTTCTGTCCTCTTAGACCTAAGAGAATAAACTTCTGTTTTATTACGCTACCACTCTGTGGTGATTTGCTACTAAGGATAGAAGAAATAAACATAAGCACCCCTATTTCTTGTTGATTTTTAAGAATTTAGTGGAAGAGATTTAACAAAAGCATAATTAGAATAAGAACTGGATTTATGAGCCATTAAAATCTTTTTAAGAGAAGGAAATCTAAATTTCCTAACTAATAAAATTGACAACACCATGGACTGAGTTTTAGTTGTGATAAAAGGAAATTATGGGCCTTCCCTGGTAGCACAGCAGGTTAAAGCACAGCACTAAGAAGGTAAAGCCACTTCAGAATGAGTTCGATCCCTACCCACCCAGGAGGTGACCCACATGGCGCAGCAGACCTCTCCTGACCCGCCCATTGCTCCCCTCAGCAGTGTGCTTCATCAGTTGGCCTATTCTGCTCCCCACTCTGTCTCTGGTGAATCCTCTCACCACCCCTGCACCTCTAGCCTATACCCCAGTTCAGCATGCATAAATAAGTAAATCTTTTTTTCTTTTAAAAAAGGAAATTACTTTAATACTTAAAAAAGAAAGCTACAAAGTCTAATTTATCCTTATGAATCTATTTCTGTATCTGCAAATAAAGAATAAGACAGTCTTAATGGAAAGCAGATTGCAACCACAGTGTCTCTGAAGAAAGAAAGTCTAAAAAAGCAGAAAGCAAGTATACGGAGCCCTTAAAATCCTAACTAGTAACTTATTAATTGTAGAGTCAATGGAAATTAAATTATCTCTTCTGCTTTTTTTGCTTCTCTCTCATTTTTTTAAATTGAGGTAACATTTGTTTACAACATTATAGAGGTTTTTAGTATACTTCTCTTCTGCTTCTTGACCTACGTGGTACCTGACTACCAAATTCAAGAATTTTTGCCTAGCACATATGATGCCCACCTGAATACCTCCTATGTGCTTTTTGCTCACCTAAGACTCTAAATACATCGGACACTGTACTTCTGGTTTTCAGAAGGTTAGATATCTCAAAATGACTGAAATTAAATTTTTTTACATGTGCTACTATATTCATCCCAAATTTGTCACATTTAGAGTTCTGTCTCAAGAAATTAATTATACACTAGCCAGAACTTGAAAATCATCTTCAAAATTCCCTTCACCTCCCATAGTCAGAAACCATAAATACCATTTCTTAAGTTGTCCTCCAACTGTCCAATTCTCTAGATACCCACTACAATACTCCTTTTTAAATGCCACTATAACCTCCTGTGTAGTATTTTGACAGCTTCCCTCCAAAATATTTTCCACACTTGTGGAAGTTAAAACACCTGATCCCCGTTTTTCCCAAACATAAAAATCTGTCAAAGGCTTCACAACACCCTTAGGATAAATCTAAACAATGAATATGAGGTCATGCAAATATGAAACTTGCATGTTTCTCATTATACCCGCATACCTATTAAGTTCCAACCATGGCAGAAATATGTCAGCTTTTCTGTTCATGTGTTTGCCACATGTATTCTTCTCCACTGGGAATACTTTTGTCCTCTTTTCAAGGGTTAACTTCTTATTTATCTTATAGTTTTCTTCTAAGTAAACCTTTCTGGTCCCTTAAACTAGATTAAACTTGTAACATCCTGATTCTCTGAGTTTACAAAATTGATCCACTTTTTTTTTGGTTGTTGTTTCCTGAAGAGGGTATACACTATTAAGTGAGGATACTTACCTTAGATCACTCAATTCTGTACCATTAGAATCTAGCACAGAACTTGGCCTCTCATACAAAAGTTACAAATATGTAATTAATCATTCAATTAATAAAAAAAGGAGTAACATTAAAGAAATAAAATACAATTCTGAATAAAGCAAATCAGTACTGACCTGGTGTTTTCATTATATTCAAAGATCTGAACCTTGGCCATTGCATTTGGGCTGCTGTCATCACTTCCTACAGCTATCATTGGGGAATGAGCACGAGAGCTAGAATGGAGAATAAAAACTATGTCATATGACATCATTAATATACATTTAGTTCAGAAAAATTTCCAAAAAAGTCCATGTGAAGCAGTTCTACTACAACCTTTAAGTCAGCATGTCATTGTTGATGACTAGATCACTGCCCTACATCATCTAAAGCCACACCACAGAGGAAGTACCTTTGAGCATGCTCAGCCTGGAAACAGAGGATACCTCCTTCTGTAATTATTTTTACATCTCCTTATGAACAATAAAAGCTTTTTCCCTAACAGTAAAGATTTCAAGCATTTGACAGATTAAAAAAGACACCAAAGAGATAACTTCTCTTCCTCATTTCTTATTTTAACATGATTTATTTAAAGCCCTCCCTGTTGATGCAACAGGGATGAAGCATCCACAGCCGCTTCAGCATGAGTTTGACCCCCAGCAAGGGAGGTGACCCACATGATGCAGCAGACCTCTCCTGACCTGCACACTGCTCCCCTCAGCAGTGTATTTCATTAATCTGCCTGTTCTGCTTCCTACTCTGTCTGGTGAAACCTCTTACCACCCCTGCACCTCTGGCCTATACTTTAGTTCTGTATGCATAAATAAATCTTTACAAAATGAAATTATGTATTTTATATCATTGTCCATTTTTTAAAAAGACTTATTTATGCATACAAGAGCTGGGGTATGGAGGTGGGGCTAGAGGACTCATTAGAGACAACACAGTGGGGAGCAGAACAGGCAGATCGACTGAAATACACTGCTAAGGGGAGAATCTGGGGAAAGAAGAGAGGTCTGCTTCGCAATGTGGGTCAGCTCCTTGGGCAGGGATTCAACTCATGATGCAGTGGCTGTAGATAGCTTCACAGTGCCGAGACTTAACCCCTTGCACCATCAGGGAAAACCCCATTGTTCATTTTTCTTTTTTACAATGTTCACTTTCTTTTCTCAGATGTGGTGTCCACAAAATTTCTACCACCAATTCACCCATGCACAATCCTTTCTGTTCTCCCCATCCTTGTTTTTATCCCTCTACATCTACCTCCCCTACAGAATGTCTCTATTTATAGTCTGTTTATTTTTGTTTTGTTGTGTTGTTTTCTATTGTTTTTTTTTTCCTTGATTCTTTGTTTGGTTCCCCTATATTCCTCTCATAAGTGAATCTGTTATTTTTTTTTCCTTCTGACTTATTGCACTGAGCATGATCCCTTCTAGCTCCATCCATGTTGCTGTGAATGGCACACATTTATCTTTTTTGACTACTGTATAATAATGATTTATTTCTTTACTAAGGAATGAATGACTTTATTTCTTGACTAAATTCATGACAGACTTTTAAGTGCTTTGTTAAAAAAGCAACAGCTAGAAAAAGGAAAAAGTGTTAAAAGAACACCCTCAAGAATGTATGCTCCCTATATGTCATTCTTCTCTCTAGATTCATGTGTGGTTAATTTCCTTTTGAAAAAGGCAAAAAGATGAGCAATAAAATGAACTCTATTGAAGTGAACTCTTGAGTTAATATTTTTTTTGCTGCTATGTGTAATTATTTTTAATGTATGCATATCAGAACTGGGGCATAGACCAGAGGTGGGGGAGTGAGAGGATTTCACCAGAGACAGAGTGGGGAGAACAGAACTGGCAGATCTACTTAAATACACTGCTGAGAGAAACAGTGGGAGGGACAAGTGAGATCTGTGCCTGCAAACAGCTTCACAGTGCTGGCTGTAACCTGTAGTGCTACCAGCAAGGGCCCCCTTTTTTACCTTAATATAATCATCTACCAGTCTCTTAAGTTGAAAAAAAAAGTGGTAATTAAAAAAAGTTTAGTTTTTTATTGTTAAATCTTCTGATAATGAGATCAAATCACCTAATATTATAAAAATACCAACTAAACTGCAAAATATAAAAATAACACAATTTATGATTCTTGGCTATTCAGATATAAAATCCACAGTAGCTTCTAAATCGTGCATCCATTTTTCCCCCATGTTCTACAAATATAAATATAAAATATAAATGTATTTTTTTCTTTTAATATCTGGAGACCAAAACTATAGTTATTTTTACTTATCTATTTTTTAAAAGATTTATTTATTTATGCTTACAGAACTGGGGTACAGGCCAGAACTGTGGTGGGTGAGAGGATTCACCAGAGACATAGTGGGGAGCAGAACAGGCAGATTAATGAAGTACTGCTGAGGAGAGCAGTGGATGGGGCAGGAGAGGTCTGCCCTGTGGGTCAGCTCCCTGCACGTGGGTCAGCTCCTTGGCAGGGGCATGAACTATTGCTGCAGTGGCTTCGGAGAGCTTCATAATGCAGTGCTTTAACCCGTTGTGCCACCAGGAAAAGCAAAAACTGTATTTATAGTAAAATGTTCTAAAACTACTAAAAGCATAAATTTTTAAAAACATTCTAAATCAAATTATAAATCATATATACAGATAACCTGAGTTGAGCAACTATACCTCCAGAAATAACATGTTCATATTTAAAGCATTTTCCAAATATGCCTTTGAATGAAACTGTGAAAAACCACTCAGCTCTACTAAATATAGTAAATTTATCACCGGTATCTCCTTTTTACATTAACTTCATCTCTTTATCACTGGAATAACCTCACTAGCAAATTATAAGTGACTGCCATAGGAATGACATTTCCTGATTTCAGTAAAATATCATCCTGTTACCACAGCACATGCCAGTTGCCTGAATGATGGTGAAAAGTAGGTTGGATCATGGTGGAGAATATTCAGGCTGCTAAAATTGGTCAGGAAATCACTATTTGCCTGAAAGAGAGCTTAAGAATGTAAGCATTACCCTCCTCTGGAGAGTGAAGGGTAGCGTCATCATTGGTCAAGTGAAGATCAAAGCAGGAAGAGAAGAGAGTATGTTACAGATGATAGCCAAGACTCAATTACTTCAGCAATAGGAACTGCTAGGCCCAGTGCATGAATTCAGCAGGGATAAAACTGATGTTGGGAGACAGCCAATTATAATGCATGAAAGAGACTTTTCTCACCAGCCCTCCTAGGTATGAGAGTGAACTATTAAGAAAACAAAGCACCCAACAGGACAAAGATATCAATACCAATTTACTAGCCAAAGTTGTCTCTTATCTATAAATACAAATAAATAAGCAAAGACTAATGCACACTTAAAAGAAAATAAGGAGTGGTCCTCCCTGGTGTCACAGCAGGTTAAAGCACAGCACTAAGAAGCTTAAGTCACTTTCACATGAGTTCGATCCCTGCCTGCCCCGGAGGTGATCCACATGGCACGCCCACTGCTCCCCTCAGCAGTGTACTTGGTAGATCTGCCTGTTATGCTCCCCGCTCTGTACCTGGTGAATCCTCTCACTCTCCGCATCTCTGCCTGTACCCCAGTTCTGTATGAATAAATAAATAAGTCTTTTAAAAAAAGAAAATAAGGAGTAAAAGTAAAGACCAAAGTATATACACAGATCTTTAAGACACAGATACAGCCAATCTTCATCATTTGCAATCTGTATTTGTAAAGTGACCTACTAGCTAAAATTTATTTGTAACCCCAAAATTATAACAATTGAGGCTCTCAGATTGTTTACAGACATTTGTGGAGAAGCACTGAAAAAGTATAAGTCACCTGATGCACATGTTCCCAGATGTCTTCTTCATTTTAGCTCTCAATGAAATAATGGTTCATTTCAAACTCTATTCTAGCACAATGATTTTTTTTTCCATTTGTGCCTTTTCTGTACGTGATTTTGCTATTTAAAATGACCGCAAGGGCCCTCCCTAGTAGCGCAATGGGTTAAAGTGCAGTATTACGAAGCTAGTAACAGCCTCTTCAGCACCAATAGGATCCCCACCCAGGGAGATGAACTGAACCACATGGCGCAACAGACCTCTCCTGCCTCACCTACTGCTCCCCTTCGTGTACCTAAATATTCTGTTCCCCACTCTGTCTCTGGTGAATCCTCTCACCACCCCTACATCTCTAGCCTATACCCCAGTTCTGTATGCATAAATAAATAAATTTTTAAAAATAAATAAATAAGTAAAATAAAATGGCCCCGAGTGTAGTGCTGAAGAGCTGTCTAGTGTTTCAAAGCTTGGCCAAGAAGGCTGTGAGAGGCCTTTAGAGAAAAAAATCTGTGTCAGGAAAGAGCTTTACAGGCATGAGTTTTAGTGTTCTTGGCTGAATTTGATATTAATTTATCAAACATGCTAAACAAGGTGTCTTTTAAAAGTAGCACTCTAAAACAAGATAACGTATCAACTAATGAAAACTGTTCAAAAGCTTATGGAAACTAGTTTTCCCAAGAGCAATGATTCAGTAATATATAATCCACTTTTTATAACAATTTCATACAATGTAACTACAGCAAACAGGAGTCTTCACTATAACTCAAAGAAATGCAATCTGTAAAACATTTAATTAGGATCCCCAGAGAAATACTGTATCTATGTAACAAATATTGTCTGGTATTAAGAAGAAATAATCAGAAAGATTTCTTCATAAAACATTAAGTAATTGTAGATTCCTTAAAAGGTTGAATCATATATTTGCATTTATATATATGTTTATAAACACATCATACATTTATTTATATATGCATATAAAAAATCAAAAGTACACACAAAATATTCACTATGTTGGATCCTGTGAAGTAGAAATTTTTTAAATAATGCACAAGACTGCTTAAGAAAAGCATTTTCAATAAATAAACCACGTAAATATAAATTCGGACAGTCAACAATGGAAAGCAGACTGGACCTAAAAAAGGTCCACTCCCAAACCTCCCCCATTAAAATGTAGCATTGCAAAGAGCCATCTGCTTCAGTGTGAGTTCGATCCCAGCCCTGGAGGTGATCTACATGGTATGGCAGACCTCTCCTGACCCACTCACTGCTACCCTCAGTAATGTATTTCACTTGTTCTGCCTGTTTTGTTCCCTGCTCTGACTCTGGTGAATCCTCTCACTGCCCCTGCGCCTCTGACCTGCACCTAGTTCTGTATGCATAAATAAAAAATCCTTAAAAAATGAAATTTGGGGCCCTCCCTGGTGGCGCAGCGGGTTAAAGCACAGCACTGAGAATCTGAAGCCACTTCCGCATGAGTTCGATTCCCGCCTGCCCCGGAGGAGACCACATGGCGAGCCAGACCTCTCCTGACCCGCCCGCTGCTTCCCTCAGCAGTGCACCTCGTGGATCTGCCTGTTCTGCTCCCCACTCTGTCTCTGGTGAAGCCTCTCACCGCCCCTGAGCCTCTGGCCTGTACCCCAGTTCTGTATGCACAAATAAATAAATAAATCTTTAAAAAAAAAAAAATGAAATTTGACACAAGCTATGCAACTTCTATTAGATACGGTATGGATGGAGGGGAAATGCTCTGAAAAACCAGAATTTCCATGGTAGTTCATGTTATGACCTCCCTTTTTTGTAGAATCATCAAAATATTCCAAGCAACCATCAGTTTTCTACTAGACTGCCTTAGCCTCATAAGGTACTGCCTGTGCCTGGCTAAGGTGAGCAAGCACTGCCCCACTGTAACAGGTACAGGTTTCATGGACTCCACTCCCATTCCAGATACTGGAGCTACTAATCCCATCAATAACAAGGAGGAGAATGATGGGACGTGAGGGCACAGCTGAGCAGCCAGGTTAGGATAAAACCGGACATGTGGGCTCTGGAGCTCTCTTGGCCTGGTGGTTCACGGTTGGTCATTTTGGCTCTCGATTGGTTTTCAGCGTGCTGGTGGAGTCCAAGTCAGCAAAACTGGTAGGACATACTAGCTTAACTCGTATTTCTCTCCCTTTTTCCCTGGGTTATTCCTTTACCTTTCTCCTTGTGAATAAATCCATTACTGAATCTTTCTGAGTGTGAATCGTAAGCGTGCAGGTGAAGACCCACAGACAAGCAACCCAATTAACATTTGGGTCCCCTGTAACACCAGGATGGGGAAAGTCCTTTTGAAATCAAAAACATTACAACTGGCTGATTAATAAAAACAATTATAACAAAATCAATATTGTAAGACAAGGCAGTACTAGAACAAGTTAAAAAATAATAATCAGAATTCTTTTACTCCCCGGACCAGAACCCAAATCTCATCTACTATCTCACATAAGCCTTCAATTCACTTCTAAAGAACTACTAAAGTTTTCTATTGTTTAGTCTTCAAATAAGGAACTTCACCTGAGTCTTCTATTCAGTTTTTAAGGAACTTTACTGTATCTTTGTGATTGATTTACAAGAGAATTACTCCACCTTAGCCATGACCTTACTTTATCCTTCTTCATATCTCCACCCAGCCTCTACTCTAGTCCTCGACTTTACCTTCTAAGATGTCTCAATGAAAATGAAGGTCATAGAGTAGCATTTAAGGTTTAAAGGGACTTTATTTTAGCCAGTCATCACTGTGATAAATATAATGCTACCTTTAAATTTTACGAAATTATGTACCTATCTTAATTTTAATAGATCGATTTTAAGAATAATGTTATAATCTTAGCTGAAGGTCAATAAGTTCCCAAACTGCTCTCAGAAAAGGTGATTGTGATCTCAGCCCAATTCACATGCTAATTGCTTGCTTGAAATGTATAAAATAAACTTCTGCTGGCAGCAGGACAGGAAGAATTGCACCCAACTCATGTCTTTCTCAAACCCACTCCCTCCCTCAGCCCCTTTTAGGAATCTCAGCTCACATATGCCACTCCCACTGTAAGACCCTGCCTGTTCTGCCCCTCAACAACCAGTGATTGGGACAGTCCCCGACAGAAATTCTGCCATTTGCCAAAAAGTGAGAGGACTTTGAAGGGTTATGGAAGTTTATCAGAAATATGATGACAAATACGGAATGATTTCACATGAGAATATAAGGAAATAAAGTGGGTAAACAATTTGATACAGCAAATTAAAAATAAACTAGCAGACAATGTTAAGTGAATCTCAGTGGACACTGATCACCGGAGGTGAAGGGGGTGCAAGGTAAGGGGGTAAAAGAGACATAAGAGATAGTGGTGAGCATTGGTGAGCATTTTGCTTTTCCTTTTTCTTGCTTAAAATGAAAACAAAACAAAACAAAAAAACAAAAAAAAAAAAACTAGGGCCCTCCCTGGTGGTGCAACAGGTTAAAGCACAACACTATGAAGTATCCAAGTTGCCAAATTTGATCCCTGGCCAGGTAGGTTACCCAAATAGTGTGGTAAACCTATCCTGACCCACTCACTTCTCCATGCAGCAGTATATTTCAGTCTGTTTGCCTGTTCTGTTCCCCATTCTGCCTCTGGTGAATCCTCTCAACCCTTGCACCTCTGCCCTGTACCACAGTTCTTGTATGCATAAATAAATAAGTCTTAAAATATATATATATTGAAGATAGCAGATTAGTTACATATTCAGGTTCTGGTATCACATTGCCTGTTTTCAACTGCAAGCATTACCATTTACAAATTAATTAACCTCATGTTTCAGATTCTTCACTTGTCAAATAGTAGTGACAGAACTTAGAACACCTATTATCAGAATTAATGAAATTATACACACAGGGTGTTTTAGAAGTATGTGGTACATAGTTAGGGATTTGTTTGAGCTGTGAGATAAAGATGCTTAATTCTGCTTTTCCTTTCCAGCTAACATTCCTTTTATGCCCCTATTTTGATTCCATCAAGTTAATATTTCTTTCTTTGTTCATTTATCTAGACTTCCAACTTTCTTCAAAGATACTTTTCCTATAAGAAGAAATGGAGTGATGATTCCTTTACACCAATACCCACTATCAGTAGACTGGAAACTCTGTTGAGTCCAGGCCTACCCTTATTAAATTCAACACAGAGAGGATAATAAAGAAAGTAAAGCTAGTAAAAAGAAGAAATCCAAAGCTTATTTTAAAAGTATTAATTTGTTTTACTACAATTATATTATCAGAGGTTTGTTATCTAAGCTTACCTTGAAGGGTTCCAAGAGATACAGCTACAGCTTAGCTTGCATGAGATCTCATGCTGCAGAGACCACTGGCTAAGATTCATGACATCCGGTGCTTCATATATTCTCACTATACCATCTGCTGAGCAGGTTGCTAACATAAGTCCCATATGCTTGGGAGCAAACTTCACATCAGTAACAGATGTTCTGCTATCCACTAGAGTTGTCCTCTTAACCTGAAAAAAGAAATGAACAACTAAATTATATACAAACAGAAAAGATGGAAAAGAGAACACACACTCTGAAATCACAAAGCACTTCTCCGTCATTTACTGGGTACATAGCTATGAATCAAAATTACTTAAAAATTACCTAGGCCTCAATTTTCCTACATAATACTTGGTAAAATACCACATAATTATGTGGTGATGATTAACAAATGAGTGACCTATAATTAATTACTCCATTTAAGGCAGAAAAAAGCTGACCTTAAAAAGTTTAATTTTAGGCCCTCTCTGGTGGTGCAGTGATTAAAGCACAGCACTAAGATGCTAAAGCCACTTCAGCATGAGTTTGATCCCCAGCCGCCCGCCGGGGTGATCCACAGGGCATGGCAGACCTCTCCTGACCCTCCTGCTGTTCTCCTCAGCAATGTACTTCCTTGATCTACCTGTTCTGCTCCCCACTCTGTCTCTGGTGAATCCTCTCACCCTCCGCATCTCTGGCCTGTACCCCAGTTCTATATGCACAAATAAATAAATCTTTTTTTTAAAAAAAAGAAGAAATTTGAAACTATGCAACCTACAAAGCTACACTGGGATTGAAAAACTACACAATTCAGTAAGCCTTCTTCTAGGTATCTATCCAAAGAACACAAAACCATCTACCCCAAAGTTGTATATTCCAATTAAATTAAAAATTAAAAGATTATGGTACTGGGAGGACAGACATATAGCCTAACAGAATAGAGTCTAGAAAATACTACTATACTTGGTCAACTGACTAAGATCTTTTAATAGGGGAAAGGACAGTTTTTTCAATAAAAGGCTTCAATTAAATGATACTAATATGCAAAAGAATAAAGTTGGATTCCCTATTTTATATATATACATAAAAAAAAAATTTAACACAGGGTGTCCCTGGTGGCGAAAGGGCATTTTAAGTATCAGCACACTGAAGCTATCCTCAGCTACTACAGCACAAGTACCCACATGGTGTAGCACATCGCCTCTGTCTTGACCACTGCTGCCTTCAGCAGTTTATTACAGTAAATCCACCTGTTCTGTTATATACTTTCTCTGGTAAATCTTCACCCCATCTACCTCTGGCCTACATCCCAAGTCTCGTATGCATAAATAAACAAATCTTCAAAAAAATTAACACAAATGATCAAACTCCTAAATATAAGAGCTATAGCTTTAAAACACTTCAATGAAATCTGTGAAGTACTTATGATACTAAATTTGGTAATATCTTGGATATGACACTATAAACATGTTTATATAAATATACAAACACATGAATCAAAGATATTATAAAGAAAGTGAAAAGGTAACTTACAGGATGGGAGAAAATAATTGCAAACTATGTATCTGATAAGGGATTAATATCCATAATATACAAAGAACTCCTATAACTCCACAACAAAGAAACAAACAATCCAATTAAAAAATGGTGGCGCAAAGGGTTAAAATACAGCACTAAAAAAACTACAGCCACTTCCACATGAGTTTGATCACATGAGTTTGATTCCCGCCTGCCCTGGAGGTGACCCACATGGTAGGGCAGACCTCTCCTGATCTGTCTGCTGCTCCCCTCAGCAGTATACTTCAACTATCTGCCTGATCTGCTCTCCACTCTGTCTCTGGTGAATCCTATCACCACCCCTACACCTCTGGCCTGTACCCCAGTTCTGTATGCACAAATAAATAAATCTTTAAAAAAAATGGGTAAAGAACATAACAACCAATTCCAAAATAAGATATACAAATTATTATCACATAAAAAGATTTGTTCAACATCAATTATTAGGTAAATTCAATTCACAACCATGAGATACTGCAATATTCACTAGGATCACTATAATAGAAAACAGCAAATGCTGATAAGGATGTAAAGAAACTGGAACCCTTATGTATTGGTGGTGGTAGTAATACAAATTGTATAGCTAAATCAGTTTAGCAGTTCCTCAAAAGGCTATATATAGCTTTATATATATATGTATATGTATATAACTACAGCTTGAAAGGAAGGTCTCAAACAAGTATCTATATGCCATGGTTCATATCATTTTAATAACTAAGAAGTGGAAACAACCTAACTGTCCATTTACAAATAAATGAATTTTTTAAAAATGTAGTATAAATATACAATGGGGTACTATTCAGCTATAAAAAAAATGAAATTGATATATATGCAACACTGGTAGACTTTGAAAACATTCTGCTCAAACACAAACACAGAAATGAATATTATATGATTCCACTTATATAAAGTACTTATAATAGGTAATCATAGACAGAAAGCAGAAGAGAGGTTACCGGGCACCCCATAGAAAAGGATGGGGAAAGGAAAGAGGTGTTATTTGATGAAACAAAGTTTATGTTGGAAATGATGAAGTTTTGGTATAGATTGCAATAATGGGTTCACAGTATACCCTTACAAACAGTTAAAATGATAAAAATTAGCATTATGTACAGTTTGCTACAACAAAAAAATGCAATACACTATATGTATTGATAGCATGGAAGAATTAGTGTGGGTGTGGTGAGGGGCTCAACACTGTATTTATGTCCTTATAGAGGCATGGACTATACCCAGAAGGGTACATAAAACCCTATTAATGCTGCCTCTAAGGAGAGAAGGGAAAGTACTCACTGTATTCACTCTCATATCTTGAATTTCATATTTTGTGACTGATTATGTATTATGAAAAATAAACAACAAAAATTAAAACATTGTCTAGTTAAATTCTTTGATTAAAATGAGGGACTTGAGTAGCACACCACTTTCTGCTCTTGCCTAAATTCAAATATCCAAAATCAAGGAAAACTAGAGTTAAAGTACATACAGATAGATAATACAGAGTAGATTTTCTAAGAAAGCAAAGTAAACCACAAAGGGAAAAAACAATTTTTAAAGGAGGTACTCCATGACAAAGCAAATACGCTGGGTTCATCATAAAAGTTAAAATTAATGCCAAGCATTAATTTTACCACTTCAGGCCGAAAATAAAAATCAAATAAACAAGTAGAAGGAAGGAATAGAAAGAGAAATGGAACTGGGAAAATAAAGGAGAGTGGAAACATGTTAACAGCTACCTGAAGAGTTCTTGAAAAGATTAGTACCCATCTTGTGCAACCCAATCTTGTCCAAACTAATAAATATCTCACCCAGTGACTCTGTCCTCGAAGTTTGTCATTTGATTCTCCTACTATTTCTTCCCACACAGCAGCTGTTCTGTCAAAAGAACAGGAAGCCAAAACCTGTCCAAATTCAGGATGTGCCCAAGTCACACGCCAAACAGATCCACTATGTGTCTGAGGAATTAAAAAATAGAAAAGAACAGAGTTTGCTTAATGTTAGAGAAATAAGGTTTCAACTAAAGTATTTTGACTGCATTAAGAGGACAAAGACACTCAATTTGATATTTAGATATAAACTAAAGACTACAAATGCTTAACTGTTAGAAGATACGCTACATTTAGGACTGTGATACTTCTAGAGTCAAGTTCTTTTACTTGTTTCATTCATAAAGAAAAATTCAGCCAAATAAAAGTTAGACTATTTAGTTCGAACAGAACTTGCCTCAGAGTTAAACCTAACAGCTTTTTTTCTTTTAAAAGACTTTATTGATTTATGCATACAAGAACTGGGGTACAGGCCAGAAGTGTGGGGGACTGAGAATTCACCAGAGACAATATGGGGAGAGAACAGATTGATCAATTGAAATACACTGCGGAGAAGAGCAACTGCCAAGACAGGAGAGATCTGCTGTGCCACATGGGTTACCTTCCTGTCCGGGGATCAAACTCATGTGACAGTGGCTGCTGAAAGCTTCATAATGCTGCGCTTAAACTAGTTGTGTCAACAGTGAGGGGCCCTAACTAAGCTTTTAAACAAATACACTACCAGTCTCCCAATTTTTACTTGCAAATTCTTTCTGTAGGAGATATCTACTAACAAGATAATTTTAATTAAAGTTATCTGGTGCATGGGCCTCTCTAGTGGTAATAAGGGTTAAGCCGTAGTACTATGAAGCTATCTGCAGCCATTGCAGCATGAGTTTAATTTCCCTGCTAGGGAGGTAGAGTAGACCTCACCTCTCTTGTCAACTGTTCCCCTCAGCAGTGTATTTCAGTCGATCTGCCTGTTCTGTTCCCCCCCGTCTGTCTCTGGTGAATCCTCTCACGCTTGTATTGCTGGCCTGTACCCCAGCTCTTGTATGCATAAATAAATAAATCTTGCAAAGAATAAATAATAAAGTTGTCTAGTTAAAAAGCCTAACAGTATTTAAAATCTGGAATAAACAAATACTTAAGATGTTTCTAGGTGGTATCTGGCTAGACAACAGAATCCTCTAAGAAAAAAAGTCTAATGAGTATAAAAGTATAAAGAAGCCCAAATACTTGCATTCTGAAAAAATGTTACCTTGCTATACAAAACAATGTCAAATAACTGTTCTTCAATTCATGTTGACAAAAAAAAGAAGAAAAGAACAAAGGCATTTCATATTAACAAATTTACTGTTTTCTGTTAAAATACATAATAAGAAACATTAGACCAGAAATTATGTCTACAAATTTGTTTCATGGTTCTACACAGCTAACATTTTTACACTCAATGATCCCCAAGTGCTTTTATAATCCAGTAATTTCTATATTGCAATAATGTTAGCATCCAAAGGAAAACTCTCCATCATTAGTTTTCTCTTTCATTTTGTCCAGTTTTTTTGTTTCACCTTGCATTCTTATTGATTAAAGGCTACTAAGCTAAAAATATACTAAAGTAATGAGATTTTGTTAAAATGTTAAGATTCCCATTACAGTGTAACTTAACTAAGGAATAAATTTCGCCAAAGATGTTCATCACAATAAAAAGAAACAACAAAATAGTGTGTTCACTGGTATATTTATATTTTATTGCTATATGTATATAGACAGAGTGTTTAAAAATATGCAAAAGCAGGCTCTCTCTGGTGGTACAGCAAGTTAAAGCACAGCACTAAGAAGCTACAGCCACTTCAGCATGAGTTTCATCCCCACCCCAGAGGTGATACACATGGTGCTACAGATCTCTCCTGACCCACCCACTGCTCCCCTCAGCAGTGTACGTCATCAAACTGCCTGTTCTGCTCCCCACTCTGTCTCAAGTGAAACCTCTCACCACCCCCGCACCTCTGGTCTGAACCCCAGCTCTGTATACATAAATAAATAAATCTTTTTAAAAAATGCAAAAGCATGTCACTACTAACCTAAAAAGCTAGAAATGGGCGGTTTCTTTTTAGAGTGATAAATTCTGGAGCTAGATAGAGGTAGTACTTATATAATCCAGTGAATGTAGTACATGTGGACTTTGAAATATTTTATCTTGTGTGACTCTCACCTCAATTTAAAAGGAGAGATGGAGAGATTTTGGTACACACTTCACCAAAGAAGATATATGAAGGGCAGACAAGCACTTGAAAATATAATGAACACCATTAGTCACTAAGAAATACAAGTCAAAACCCAATATTTACATGTGTATGTGTATATATACACATCATATGTATATACACATATACACATGCAAATGTGTATATATACAATGTATGAATACATAGTAATGTGTGTGCCTAATGTGGAAATAACATACATACATGCATGTGGGGGGGGTGTATAAAAAGAGTGTGTGCAGACACTGGTGGCAATATAAAACAGTACAGACACCCTGGGAAAGAATTTGGCAGTTTCTTAGCATCTCAAATATATACTACCCTAGCAATTCCACTTAGAGGTATCTAAGAGAAATGAAAACATGGCCACCAAAGACTGTATGGCATGTTCATAAAAGCATTAATCATAACTCCCAGATCTTAGGAAACAGTTCAAAAGTGTATCAACTGGTGAATGAATAAACAAAATGTGATTTATTTGTATAATGTAATTATTACTTGGCATTCAAAGAAATTACTGACACAAAGTACACTTGCTAAAGGAAAGTAGTAATGCACAAAATCATAGCATTTCATTTGTATGAAATGTTCAAGAAAGGTAAACTATAAGCAGAAAAACAATTCAGAGGTTATAAAGGGCCAAAAAAAAAAATTGTGGGTTGGGCCCTCCCTGGTGGCACAGCAGGTTAAAGCACAGCACAAAGAAGTTTAAGCCACTTCCGCATGAGTTAGATTCCAGTCTGCCCTGGAGGATATCCACGTGGCACCGCAGACCTCTCGTGACCCGCCCACTGCTCCCCTCAGCAGCGTATGTTGTCGATCTGCCTGTTCTGCTCCCCGCTCTGTCTCTGGTGAATCCTCTCACCCTCTGCATCTCTGGCCTGTACCCCAGTACTATACGAATAAATAAATAAACCTTTAAAAAAAAAATTGTGGGTTGATGAAAGATTTTTAATGAGGATATGGTGACAGCTATACAGTTATATAAATGTTCTAATCTCTCTGAACTATACATTTTACATTATATTTATAGCATACAAAATTGGATCTGAGTAAAGCTATTTAAAAAAAAGAAATGAAACTACAATCAAAATATCACAAACATAAAAACAAAAAATAAAATGCTAAAAAGTTACATTACATTGCTATGAAATTACAAATTCTCTTACTTGTGAATTTTTATAGCATATTTCTATTACTTTAATAGTTAAAAAAAGCAAACAAACTACCTTAAGAAAAAAATTACAAATTTTATAATTCTCTCAAAGCAGCAAGTTATTAATACTTTGAAATAAAAACCTTTCAATTTTGTATCACTGTAAAAAATTTTAAACCAATGTAAAAAAAGTACTAACCTTCCAACTAGCAGTACAGTGCCAATCACCACTTTCACTCTTATCCCAGACCTGTAAGAAAATTAAAAGTAGGTATTTTATGTATAGAATACCTATAAATTAATATGAAAAGCATTACCACTGAATCAGTATATAAGCAAAGGAAGTGAACATAAAATTCACAAGAATAAATATAACCAATAAGTAAATAAACAGTCAAATATTGAGAACCTGGGACGTGTCAGGAACAGGGTTAAGCACTAAGGAATCTTAGTACTAGTAAGAGACAATTTAAAAGTTCTATAAGGAAGGGTGACCTGTAGCAGTTAAGACATGTAAGTTGCTATAAACATTGAATATGAAGCCCTGCTCCCTGGGTGAATACCTTCTAGATACAACTTTTTATTTGTTGGCCAATCAACATATAGCTTTGTTTTATTTATCTATTTATAATAACTTAATTTATAATAACCTGTAATAGTAATATATATTATTGGTTTGTTAACAGTGAATTCACAGTCAATAACAATATACTCGGGCCCTCCCTGGTGGGGCAGCGGGTTAAAGCACAGCACTAAGAAGCTTAAGCCACTTCGCGTGAGTTCGATTTCCGCCTGCCACGGAGGTGACCACATGGCAAGGCAGACCTCTCCTGACCCGCCCGCTGCTCCCCTCAGCAATGTACTTCCTCGATCTGCCTGTTCTGCACCCCACTCTGTCTCTGGTGAATCCTCTCACCCTCCGCATCTCTGGCCTGTACCCCAGCTCTATATGAATAAATAAATAAATCTTAAAAAAAAATAACAATATACTCATGTCTGAATGAAATCCTTAGCATACAGGGCCCTCCCTGGTGGCACAACGGGTTAAAGCACAGCACTATGAAGCTATAGCAGCCACTGAAGCACTAGTTCAATCTTTGGCCTTGTGGGGGCCATGTGACCCACAAGGCGGGCAGACCTCTCCTGAATCCCCTTGCTGCTCCCCTCAGTGGTCTATTTCAGTACATCTGCCTGTTCTGTCTCTGGTGAATCCTCTCACCCCAGCACCTCTGGCCCATACCCCAGTTCTGTATGCATAAATAGATAAATCTTTAAAAAAAAAAATCATACCATACAAGTTTTCTCCATAGGACACATCACAGTCATCTTGTGCTTAGCAAGCTACTATGCATGAGGCCATTTTAAATAGTGATATCACCAACAAAATGAATTAAAATTTAGAAAACATGGCACTAAGGAGACCATGTTCTTTATAATATGAGACCTTAAGAAGATAGCCCCCATTTAATCTCAGCTGGGAAGTGTACTAACCTTACTTGGGTGACTACAATTTTCTGCTGCTCTGCTTATGTCAGCAAGTGTCTCTAAAAGCACTGTATTGATTTAGGAGTAACAAATAAACCTATAAATAATAAGGATCAATTACACATGTAGCCAATGTTAAAGAAAAGGTTAAACCTTGTTGCCATTAAAAAAAGTAGATTATAGTAACAAGATGAGATTGTAACCTGTTAAAAAATGTATCACAAACAGTATAGCAGCACTTCAAAACAACTAAAATTACAATTACCATGATGCAGCAAACCTATTTCTGGGGTATACCCCCCAAAATTGAAAACAGAATGATGAAGAGATATTTGTACACCTAATTATAATAGCATTATTTAGAAGAACAATCGCCAGTTCAATGACATAGGAATTAAAGCAAAATGTGGTATATACAAAACATACAATGGAATAAATGGAAGGAAGTTCTATATGCCACAACATGGTTCTGAACCTCAGAGACATTAAGTGAAATGACACAGACACAAAATAAATATGATCTAGAGTAGTTAAATTCAGAGATAGAAAATAGAATGGTTTTGCAATACTGGAGTGAGGTGGGATAAATGGGTTTCTACTATATTCTGAATATGGGTAATGGGGATAGTTACAAAGACATGTTTGTACTCAATACTACTGAACTGTACACTTAAAAAATGATTAAAACTGTAAATTTTACATTATCTGTGTTTTGTTTTTTTTCTATTTTCCCCTTTTTTATTACAAAAGTTTATTTTTACATCATTTTGTACATTTTTTTTCCATCTCAATTGTAATCCCCGCGGGTTTCCCATCACCAAGTCACCCGTGTGCCATCACCATAATCCCATGCATTTCAAACCCCCGCCCCATTTTTGATCCCATTCCCCACTCCACCCCCACAGAATGTCTCCTGTATATGGTTGTTCATTATTTTTGTTATTTTCTCGCCTGGTCCATTATACTCCTGCTATGAGTGAAATCATCCGGTATTTTTCTTTCTCTTTCTGGCTTATCTCACTAAGCATGATCTTTTCCAGCTCCATCCAAGTTGCTGCAAAAGACATGTGTTTCTCTTTTTTGGTTGCTGAGTAATATTCCATTGTATATATGTACCACATCTTTTTTATCCAGTCATCTACTTTTGGGCATTTGAGCTGCTTCCATGTTTTTCCAATTGTACATAAAGCAGCAATAAACATGGGGGTACAGGTATCTTTTTCAACATTATCTGTATTTTGTAACAAAAAAATTAAAGATAAAATGTAATGGAATATCTGACAAGGGTAATATAGAGTGTAGAGTAGTACAATCTCAAGAAAAGATAATTTGCCTATATTTTTTTCAAAAGCTTTCTAAATATTAATTCCTCTACAGAATGCATCCAAAATATACAGAACTAAATTAGTGAAGATTTTCACTGCAACAGTACTTCTCATAGACAAACCTATACACAGAAAGTTTGCTAAAAGATGTAGTACTAAATATATATTGCCTATTCAGCTAACAGACGTTAATTAATGCATTATTCAAAACAGCCAAAAGTGAATGGACAAAAATTTTGTGGCACACAAGATTAATTTTATTCTTAAAAATTAAACTGATATATGCTACGCTATGAATGCACCTAGAAAACATCATTTTAAAGGAAATAAACTAGACATAAAAGAACAAATGTATGATTCAATTTGTAAGCGCTACCCAGAATACTTAAATCTATAGGCAAAAGGAATAGAGATTACCAGGGGCTGCGAATAGCGGGAAGAGGGAATTATTGTGTTCATAGTTTCAGTTTAAAATAAAGCAGCAGAGATGGACAGTGGTGATAAGTGCAAAATGTTGAGTGTTGGACTTAATGCCACTGAACCATAAAGTACAATTATAGGAACTAGTTTAAAATTAATTTTAAGTTTAAACCTTGTAAAAGATACACGGGATACACTATATCCCATGAACTTGGTGGCATTAGTTTTTTTTAAGGCAAAATTAGTTGTTATAGTAACTTTGACGGGTCATAGCTATCAAACTTCACCGGAAACAGGAGTAAAAAACCTTCCTAAGGATTTTCTGTTATTGTGGAGATGTCTAGTATGCAGAGAACCCACGCTCCGGATGTCCTCTTCAAGTATGTCATTGTCTACCCTACATGTCCGGGCTTCTAAACCCCAAATATCCTCGTATTATTCAAACTCTTGCTTCTCCGAAGAGTACACACACACTGACGGATTACTTTAAGAAACAAACACTCCAATTCTGGGTGTTTTTTCTTTCCTTAAGAAACCAGGTATGCTTCCAATCTGCATATACTAACGAAACCTGCCAGGTAAAGGAGGCCACTGAGCTTGAGCAGACAGCTAGCAGACGGCCCTTCACGTGCCACGATTAACTCCCCAGGCCAGCAGGCACCTAGCACCGCCACCCCAGAAGCGCGTAGCTCAAATCACACCCTGGACTGAGCCAGAAAGCACGTTCCGGCTCGCGCCCAACACCGACCCTACAAAGCAAAAACCACGCGTGTTCACAGCATCCCGCGCTGCGGGAGCGCGCACGTGGCCAAGACGCGCCCCCGCCCGGCCCGCTCTGCGCAGGCGCACGCCAGCAAGCCCAATGAGACGCTGTGACCCCACAATGCGGGGCCGAGGCTACAGGGCCAGCAAGCTGCGGCCCCCTGCGCCTGAGACTCTGGGAGCCCTGCTGACAGGCCTTTAATAGGATGTAGGCTCCTTTTCGAACCGCCCCTCCGCGCTGGTCCCTCCGCCCAAAGAGCACGTCGCGCACGACCCCCCCCTTCCTTCTTCCGGGCTGGGCCCTGCCGGCACCTTGACGCTCTGGTCGCTGGAACAGGTTGCCATCCGCCGCCCGTGGAAGTCGAAAGAGACATCGTGGATAAGATCCTTGTGGTCCGCCGCGATGCTACGCGCCACAAACATGGCTTCCGCCGGGCCCGCGCCTCCTCCGTCTGCCCCTCCCGCCTCCAAAGGGGGAGGCCGCGGAGACGCGCGGAACCGCAGCCCCCTACCCTGCCGCCAGTGCGTGCACTGCGGGTGCTACCAGGACGCGCATCCGCCCCGCCCCTAGGCCCGCCGT